TAGTAGGCAGTGGCTAGGAAGTGACGATATTGGTTTGGTGGTGGTGCATGGCTGCTTGACGACTGCAGTAGGGTAGCGATAGTCTGGTGGTGATGGTGACAAAGAAGCAACAATGAAGGTTCGGTGGTGGCCGCAGCTCGATGTCAGTGACCGGGCAACAGTGGTCCGACACGAAGGTCGGCGGTGGTCTGATAGTGGTGGAGCTCAAAAACCATCAAGAGCTTGGCGCTCCTTTAGCTTTCTTCTCAAGTATGATTTCATGAAGAGAGTGGGTGTCTGCTTATAGATATCATGAGTGGCGTTCTCTTAAATGCCTCATATATCTGTATCAGTCTATTGGATGGCGCAGAATAACCATTTTGATTGGATGGTGTTCCATGAGCATTCGATTGTCATAACGATGTCAGAATCGAGTGAACTTAGGCTTGTTGGATTCAACTCGATGAGACACTCGATTTGACTATAAACTTGTGAGATTTATAATTTGTTTAATCATTCAATCGACCATCCAAAACCTCCAATTGCGCTTAAACGGTTTGATCTAGGCTTTATCAGATTGAGATGAAACAAATTTTGCTTTATTGGGTCTGCCTTGTCGAGACGGTCATTTTGACCATCAGCTTGATGAAATCAAAGCTTGGATGATCATGAATTCAGATTTGAATTGTTGCACGGTAAAAATATATTGAGATTTGTGCATGGTAATAATATATTTAAAACATATCATACATTAAACTAGGCCAATAATGCTCATGATTCTAGCTGCTTTCTGTGATGACTGATGTTATAAACTATTCAAGATAATAAAAAAACTACGTGAAGAGTTGTGTGTGTGCGAGTAAAGAAAGCGAGAAGGTAGACATAGTAATTCACTTTCTTACACAGCAAAGTCTACAGGTATCTTGATGCGTAGATTATACGTACTCGATCAGAGGCAGCAGCAGGAGGTTGAGAGCCGAACTACTCCTGAAAACTGCTTGGAATTTACTGGGTTTGTCCATAAATGCCCAAAATAAATAATTCACTTTCTTAATTTTTAATGCCGGATGAAGACACATACATACCAAATTTCCCAACTACATTTATAAAATATATAAGGATTGAGACATTCCTCAAGTGCTTATGTTGGGCTGTCACAAATGTTCTGCCTGGTTTGGCAAACTTTCAAGTCAAAGCTGGTGATCTTGACAATGTGAGTTGAGGTTTTCCGCAAAACATTCTCATTTTGCATAAAAATATCACTAGTTTAATATTTAAAAAGTGGAATACACTTTTTTTATGCATATGAAAGGTGCATTTAGGTAAAGAATGAAGCTTATTTGTTAGCCATCTAAATACATTGGAATTGGGTGGTATATATGTAAATCTTCCAATTTTCTATTCCATCAACAACATTCAAAATATTCTTTATTTTATAGATCAAATTCAAAATGAAAGTAACTGAATTATTATTATTATTATTTTTTTTTTGAGATAATGGTTTTGATAAGATCAAATATAAGATGTGAAGACAATTCATCATATAAATACAATATTACATCTATCAACTTTATTGCTACAAAATTTATTCACTCAATATTCACTGAATTTAAATCATTAAGTTAATTAATTCGATAATGTTATTTTGACCCTCAATTATTGAACTAAGATAAAAGGGCGTTTTTGTAATGTGATACAGCTCACCTACCACATCTCAACTACCGCTCGCCTACCTCCCACTTACCACTCTCTTGCTTCTATAAATAGAGAGGGTGTGAGACTTAGGAGAGCAAGGGAAGAGATCTTAAGCTACCACAAAGGAGGAGAGAATAGCTAGAGAGGAGGAGAGCATCTTGAGGTCTTGTATCAAGGTGTCGCTTGACAGGGAGGTCATAGAAGAAAGATAAGGGCTCATCTCTATGTATAAGCTATGTATTCTCCATTTATTTTGCCTTAGTAGACTATTTGATTGATTCTCTCCAGTGCACGTAGATGCAGTTGGATCGAACCACGTAAACGATATGTGTTTGCTTGTGTTTTTTACGTTTCATTTCTATGTCAGGAAGTACATATCTCACAACAGATAAGATCATTCAAAAGTCTACTAATAAACAAAAGAACCGAAAGTAATATAAGTTCAATACAATAATTCATAACAAAAAAAAAAACAAAATTTTCTCAATAGCAAGAAGATTGATGTGATCATTCTATCTAAATTCAAGATTGTTTAGTTTTAAATGATACTATTTACAGTTTAATCATTAAACAAAGCAAACAAATATGATTATTAAGAAGGAACGGATCCATGAGAAATTTTAATTAGATAAAAATTAATTCTTTGGTCTAAAATTAAGTTGGTAATCACTTGTTTATCGAAAAGTGACCACTTAATTAACTATGAAAAAAATCAAAAGTTAAGAGTATTATGATTAAAATGATTTGATATAAATAAAATTCGCACGTAAACTAAAACTGCAAATATTTAATTGCATTCGTATCGTCGTCTTTATGTACTAATAATAATATTCTTTGTTATTATTTCTTGTGAGAATTAACATATATATCATGTGATGCTTTAATCATCTATATTAATACAATACCTGTAGGAATGATTAATATAATCTTACGTCAAACTCAGGAGTCATTTAAAGGTCCGTTTGACGCAACTTTCTAGTTTCTTGTTGTTTTGGTTTCAGACTGTCACCATAATTATATTTGAGGAACTGTTTTTTTTATTACTTTCTAGAAATTTTTATGGTATAAAATTATTTTTTTTCAACTTAATCTTTTAAAATGCGGTGACTTTTTAAAATTAAAATAAGTTTGTAAGCAACTTCACAGCTGCTTAGCTACCTGAAACATACCCTAAATTGTGATAAAATGATAAAATGTTATTGCAGTAGTCTTTCCAGGAAAGGCATAGATGAGCAGGCCTGCAGAGTAAGAGATCCAACGTACTTTTGTGAGCTGGAGGATCATAACGGCTCAGCCCAAGAATGCAGCACACGACACCGGCCCTGCCCATGCTCTTTTCACTCTCTACATCCACGCGTCCTGCCGGCCAACGTCAGGTCCACCTTTATGCTAATGCTAACCAGTAGCGTCTTCGGACCTTCAATCTTACCTTTTTTGGTTTACAAAAAAGAAATATCGTTAGAGATTATAAATGCAAATGAATTAAATTCAATTTATAATGAATTAAGAGATTAAATAAATATTTAAATGTTTTTTTTTCCTTGAAAGTTTCTTACAAATTATGCTTAGTAACATGTGCATGCTTAACTTTAGAGTTTTTGTCGAAACTCCAACTGTTATATCAAAAGACACTTTGATGTTTAAGAATTCAATTTCATTTTAGAAGATTTCACATTCTCCCCCACTTAAATAGTTGACAATAGTTGACGTCTTCATTATTGTTTTTAACCCCAAATTACCCACCAAATAAATATTTCAATATTCGAGTTGATACAATGCTTTCATAACTTGTAGCAGCCCAAATTTTCACCCATCAAGTATTGAGTTTTCTCACAGTTTTACCTTTCAACTTCAAATTTCTATCAGAATTCCAACTGTTGCATCAAAAACATCTCCATATTTAAGAGCTCAAGTTTATGAGGGGTTTCAGAGTTGAAATTGTAAGTTTTTACAAGTGCAGAAACAATAATTCATTGTTGATTAACAATAAAGTTTAGTTTTCTACCATTTGATTCATTTTTTGCATATAGTAATATTTCACTAAGATGCTATCATTAATAGTAACATGTTATATAAAAAAAATAATCAATAACTTTTAATTGTTTTTACAAGTGCAGAAACAATAATTCATTGTTGATTAACAATAAAGTTTAGTTTTCTACCATTTGATTCATTTTTTGCATATAGTAATATTTCACTAAGATGCTATCATTAATAGTAACATGTTATATAAAAAAAATAATCAATAACTTTTAATTTTCCCCACCTATTAAATTTCAAAAAAAAAAAAAAAATGATCACGTTACACAATGTTGAAAATTAGATATATTTTTAAATACAATAAATCAAATGGAGCCCAGAATGAAAACAAGAGATAACCAACTGATGCTAATCTCAATGAATGGCTCCAATTATCACATCCAAATAACTAAAAAAAGAAAAAAATGCCTTCAGCCGACTATCACAAAGTCAATGGCTCAAATGCCTTCTACTTACTATGTTTATGAAGATCTTTAGGGATCAGCGGTGGATATGCGAAGCGTTTGTCATCTCAAACCACATCCAATTTTTCTATTTTAATGCATTATATCTCATCAAACATTATTATTTATCAAATGTAAAATCACAATCCCAAAATAAAATATTATTTTTTTTATTAAAAAAAGCAGAGTCTGTATGTGTAGAGATTAGTTATGAAATTATGGATCTCAATTATTGTCCTATGAATAAGAAAATATGTCGATTATTGTATGATAGAAGTCATTTTCACACGAAAGAGAGATAGGTAAAATACGAAGTCGAAGATCTCTATGTACTTTTATTGATCATATTTTAGGTATCTTTTTTTTCGATGAAAGTTAAACCTTAATGACAATCATATTAGAAATTATTGCTTAGTGATTAGGCTGTACTTTGAATCTGAGTCTTGTAGTTGGAGAGAACAAAGAACTCCTCCACAAACTTTGCACTATCATAAAAATTTCTTTATTATGAGGGGCGTACATGAATCAATTTGTATGTACCGTTCTTCTTCTATTCTCTATACATGAAATAAGTTTTACCTATTCCCAAAATAATTAAGTAAATAGAGAATTAGCATTAATTATTCTAATGGCCCTCTTCTCAATTCTAGTGGTTGCCCGGTGAGAAAGAGACGCATGATTATTCAAGGAAATCGAGATGACTCAAAAAATGCTTCAATCAAGAAACTGCCCTCATCACTAACCCTTCACTGAATTCATTTCATCCCTAAGACTATACTTGTATAAATAGAGACAGAAATTGTAGAACTTTCCAATGTTTAATATGAGGATACTATGGTCTTACCAGGCGGGCATCATCCTTTAAAGAGCAAAGAATTATTGCTTTGAAAGCAAGGAGATTAACCAGTTCCTAAAGCTCAGTCTATCTCCCTATTATAAAACACTACAGGCTGTCTACTCTCAGCCAATTGGATGGAGGACAAGTTGGATGAATCAGAGGTCAATTGGCTTGAGAGCATGGAAGAAGAGCTCATCAAGCAAGATGTTCTCTTTGAAACAGAACTGGTCCCTCTCATGGCTCCTCTAACCCCAACCGAACCTCAATCAGAACTTCCTAAAGAAGAATTAGTAAACTTGCTTGTCTCCAAGGTTTATTCCGGCCCGACGATAGGCGACGTCGAAAGCGCACTGAGCCTGAGCTGCAGCAGCAAAAAGCTAGGCAATGGAGGCGGCGGCAACCAGCACAGGTCTAGAGTAATGTTTCAGAGGAGCTATTTCTTTCTAGCCAGATTTTCAAAGTATTGATGTTTAGGAATTGTTCATTTAAATATACTTACAGATCTGGGTTAGCAGAGAAGGGGTGGTCTAGTACTAAAATGGAGAACAAGTATATACTCAGAATAAGGACTTGTGTGGATGGCGTTGCGGATGATGGATATAAATGGAGAAAGTATGGCCAGAAACTCATCAAAAATAGTCCAAATACGAGGTACTGATGTTTTACTGAGCGGAAAAATTCGTAGATTCACATTTCTATAACCACATTCCATTAGCGTGCTTCACTGAAAAGTAGCGTGACAACCTAAAAATAGGATTAGTTAATAACCACAACAACATCAGTGCCACAAAGAAGGTCTCTCAGGCCTAAATAACATTATTTTAACACTAAACTGTGATTAGAGTAAAGAGAATATATGCGATGGGGTAAAGGAGAATATGAGATATTGGTCCTTGTATCAGTTTTAAGTGTAGTTGATTAGTTAGAAGTAAACAATTAAAAAAAATAATTGTGCTTTTGTTCAGAGAACTAAGCAATTTTAGTTTATCCTAGCTCCTGAAAGAAGAGTGGAAAGAGCAAAAAAGAGGAAATAGAGGGAGACAGAACAAATTGTGCTTCTCGGCATGATATTGGTTACAAGTCTTCGTTCATTTAAGAGATTTAAGTTCGAGTATTGGCAATTGAAACACAGCTTCCAGTTAAAAAAAATTACTTCTGCACTAGTAGATAACTTCACAACTAAACAAAACACTCATTCATATTCAAACTTAGGTGGTGTTTGGCAGCAACTTAGATTTACGTTAAACAGGATTTATCGAATCCAATAAATCTTACAAATTTGTATTAATCAAGTACAGAGTGCGACAAAAATGGAGCTCACGAGCGACGATGGAATAAATCTGTCTCGTAATCAGATTTAGTAAAACCAGATTTACATCGTCAAAGAGATGAAACACGAGAAAATTTGATTTAATCGAGCGATGGATTTAATTTTTATTTTTTGGTGTTTAGTTGGTTTAATTTAAATTTATGACTAAATCCTATTAATAGTATGCCACCAAACCTCCCTTTAGTATCCCTGAAAACATGCAACTCACAAGGAAAAACTAGTAAGAGAAAAGATCTAAAAAAAAAACGTAACACGAATTAATACATGATTTTCCGCATCTGAACAATTTACTTATTTGGTTCATTCCCGTAAAAACTTTATTCTTGTTCACCTCAAGAGTCAATCAATAAGCTGCATCCTTACCATGCTTCAGGCACACTTTATATATGTATGTAGAATTTAATGGATACTATGTTATGTGAGCCGCTGATCCCATGCCCTCTACACTCGTAACTTTTCTTCTTTTCAAGATAATGAACTCTTCTCCCATGCCTGCGATTTCATCTGACTAGGGTTTTTCACATAAATCTTGCCCCTTTGTTATTATTCTTATATATGGACAATATAGTATCTCCTCAAATGGCTGACTTCATAATATCAAACTGATTGTTCTGTTCATGAACAGACAAAATACCAAAATCTAAAAGTAGTGAAAGCATTTAGCTGGCAAAAACCTCTAGCAGTCACCTATCATCATGTCATTTTATTACTACTTTAGCAGTTCTCACTAATATAACATTAATTTGTTTTTGAGCAGGAGTTATTACAGGTGCACGAACCCAAGGTGCAATGCGAAGAAGCAGGTGGAAAAATCAACAGAAGATCCAAATACAGTAATGGTGACGTATGAAGGTCTCCACCTCCACTACACATACTCCCATATCCTCCTCTCCCAGAAGCATGACAAGCATGCAGCAAACTTAAATGCAGTGAAGAAACCAAAGATACAAGAATCTGAAGGGCAGCAGCACAGGCAGCCTATGGCACATTTACCTCAGAGCCCTCAAAAGAGAGAACAAACACAACAGAAGAAAATTTTGACGGCTGAAGAGAGCCGTCAAGAATGCTTCTTGAAAGATATTTTGCTAGAAAATCCATCACTGAGAGAAAAAAGCGTGGAAAACGGACTTCTCACTGATGCCCAGAGGACACAAGGAATGTTGGAAGATGTTGTGCCATTGATGGTGAGGAAGCCTTGCAGCTCAGACGCACCTTTAAATGATCCCTGCTATTCTTCTCAAGAATCTTCCCCTACACACGATACCTCTCTACTCTTGTCACCTAGTAGCTCCCTAATTGATATCGGTATACTTTCAAGCATTTGGTGAGGGACAAAAGTGTCAGGAAAACTCACAATGCACATTATAGATTAAAGATCGGGATTTGGATGTTAGTTTCTACTATGTATATAGTCCTCTATTACAGGCAGTGCTTGCTTCAACATATGATCCCTGGAGTGATGAAATTAAATACATAAGTAATAAAGGAAATTTTCAAGTAAAATATAAGATTTTTTTTTTTTTTTTTTTTGGTGCAGTAGACCTCCTTTCTGCTAGAACAAACATCCCGTTTTTTTCTCAAATTAGATATCATCAAGTTGAAGCATCCAAATAAGGTTTTGAAAAAATACCATGAAAACCAAAGGAATCATACAAAAAGTAATAAAATTATTAGGCAGAAACCCCAACCTAATTAGAATTACCCATTTTAATAGCCAGTAAAGCACTTTAGTTTCAATTGAAGTTCTAAAGTTCCAGAAAAAATATATGCACCGATTGCATAAAATAATGGTAGCTAAAGAATCAATAGCTGATGACTTGCTGAGAATCATCCGCACAAATTAAACAGCTTTGTTCTGAATTGTTCAGAGCTCTTAGGCTCAGCAAAAGACGGACTCGTTCTATGAATGCAATGCATGCAAGTTTCGGAGCTTCAATATTCAAAAGACACTGAAAATAATAGAAGCGGTACTTGGTGCATAGGTTATCAACATATATAATTCATAGGAACTTAATCTCTAAGAATTATAGCTAGATCAGGTCCTTGCATACTACCTCATTGATTCCTGTGCTCTTGAAATTAATGTCCACAAATTATGACTAAATCAACACAGATCATCTCATCGATCTATGTGCTCATGAAAGCCACCTCACCAATTCATGACTGTAAATTTATTGTAGAGTTAAATTTATGCTCTTAATTGTGTAATACATGTTATTATGAAATCCTCGTCGTGTTATATTAGTATGGGTCAAATAATGGAATAAAACTCGAGTAATTTTATGCACTAATTAATTGTTATGGAGCTTCTCTTAATGCATGATATGGGGAGAGACCCATGTCTATAGCTCTATCCATTTATAGTCTATAGGCTGTTTCCTTGATGCAAACCTGTGAACATAAGATCAAACTATGCATAGAACTGCCAACTGATAAAGATCAAATGGATCGTATCCCACCAAACATGATAAGTTCAACAAAAAAACAGCAGTTAATACTGAAACACAAAAATAAAGGATAACAGAGAAACATCAAATAGTTCAGCTAAACATCCAACTTTGTGAGCCGATCACACATTTCAGAATAATAATTAAGAAATAATTATGTCATTTCATAATCCAAAACATTAACTGGAAATTAATCTTAATTGCAGCTAAAATTAGTAATCAAAATGCTGATACTAAGCAGATAAGAAATAATATTATAACGAATTTAATATTTCATAAGGAACAAAAAGTCCACACTATGTTACAATTAATAAAGGATAACAATGTCTCACAGAAACCACCAGTTAAATTCAGGATTTCATAGCAGAATTTCCAGCTTTTACTCCTGTAAAAAACTCTATTCCGCACTAGTTCCTCATATTCCTCATATATGTTCCTTTATGTAGATACAACAGATAAGATAACCTTACATGGCCCACATCAATTTTGCCAGGACCTTTGCAAGAAATTGAGAAATTTTCAAAGTAGCGGATAAAGGTGGGTCCATAAATAATTGATGAAGTTTGTTGTTGGTTGAGAATTCCAACACAAAGTAAAATAAATAAACTAAAATGTACTAGCTGATTAATGCTGCATATTTTTCTTTTGAATCATTAGGCCATCCTCTCATGACAAAAGTACAATAATAAATAATATTCCCAACCAATGAATCCAATAATGTTTACACCACACAAATCTCAATAAATTCAAACTCAATGCCCGTATGCCAAAATTAAGGATTATGGTATCATGATAGGGACTCAAAAGTATAACAAAATCTCAATTACTAAACAAGATTAATTTTCAATATAACCCGTGCACCTTATTAGTTAGATTTGATGGCAAATTTACTACAAAGCCTCAGATGTAGCAGCTTCATCTCAATGCTAGCATTTATCTAAAATCTTTAAGGAAAACTGAATCGCTTGTAACTGGGAAAATTCAGACTAGTTTCATACCAGATGTATTCTTGCATGCTAGAACCAGAGTTTTCATATGAGCAGAAAAGTTGAATCGCACACAATTAAAATTTCAAAAGTCGGTGAAAGAAATACTAATGTGATAATATGGTAAAATAAACCTCTCTCAAAATGCCAATTTAGATTAAAAAATTTCGATGTAAATATTTTTTTCTGCATGTTTAGCAATCTTAATTGGCAAGAAAATAAAAGTTCCAATAAATCACAATGTAAACATTTGTGAAATGAAAAGCTGAGAACAAATGATAAATGGAAAAACAGAACTACAAAATTGCAATTTAGCGTATTATCACAATTAACAAACTTTAATAACCAAAAACAATCCCCAAGTTTGTATGTCCATGGCTGAATATAGAAATTTACACAAATTTAAAAAAGAGTATAAAAGAAATCATTTACTCAATAAAATATTTTCACTCATTTTGCTCTAGTGTGCATTCCCTCCCTCCCTCCTTTCCTCTCTTTCTTCTCCTCATGGTAAATACAGCCAAAACCAAATGCAGATATTTTATAATATTACGAACAAGGTAATATGAAAGTTCACACTTTATTATTATGTATCTCTTTTTTTTTCCTTGTACCAATTGCTTTTACCTAAAAGGACTTACCTGCGCCTCCGAAGGAAGAGTGCCCGGGACCATCTAAGGCATTTCCACTGCTCTGCTTTGAGTCTTCTGCGATTAACATATATTAGATATAATGTATGTTTACCATTACGCCGTCTTTTATATTTACGAGTCTGCAGCTCCTTGGGTTATATAACCCAGCTCTGTGTAACAATGTTGGTGCAATAAAAATCTATTTCTCCATTTGATTATTTGCTCTCTTCTACTGAGAATTTATCCTGGTATCAGAGCATTGGCTTAAAAGCTTCAAGATCCATGAACTCTCCTCCTCCAACACTTTCTCCAGCCTCTCAACAGCCCACCAACACGCTCAACAAGATCAAGGAGATCAGTATTACCAGCTGCATTAAAATTCTTGATGACCAACATTAAGAATGTTGACCCCCAACCCCTTACCTTTGAAAATTATGCTATATGGAAGGTACAAATCAGGAAAATCTTTCTTGCTAACGGATTTGAATCCTTTTTAGAACCCAGCGTCTCCAGCTCCTCACAGTCATCTCAAGAATTTCTCTCAAATCACACCATCGACCAAGATTCTCAGTTATAGACTTTGGTAGATCAAAACTCAACTGCAACTATGTTTCCCACCATACCTGCTTCGATTTACTGTACGTTCTACATTGTAACAACACAACTGAAATATGGCTAGCACTTCAATGCCGATTTCAAGCCACCAACAGATCAAGGGTCATACAGCTAAAAAACGAGTTGCACAACCCAAAGATGGGCAACGATCATATGGCTCAATACCTTAAAATAATCAAGACCATGGTCAACAACATAACTGCAGCAGGATCCACCATAGATAAAGATGGCATCATTTTATACACACTCAGTGCTTTACCGCTACACATTAAGGATTCAAAGGTGCAATTCGCACTCAACTACAACCTTTCTCTTTGGAACAATTTTACTCTTTCTTACATGGTGAAGAGAGTAATCTTATTAACGAAAACCTTCAGCAACCACCTCAGCAAGCCTCATTTCATCAAAAAATCAAAAATTCCAATGCAAGAACACAATCTGAACCTTTCTTTAATACAAAGAATTCCAATTATGTCAACAACAACAAAAGCAAAAAATCCTCCAACCTGTCAAATTTGATGTTGGGCTGTGGAGGCTAAGCACAAGGCACCTGGCGCATATACGTCGAGTTGTGGGCGCTTAAGCGCCCACTTGGGTGCCACTCGAATAAAGGAGTCGGCGCCTATGCACCAATTTTGAACACATATGCGCCCACTTTAAGGTGGGCACGACAAAGGAGGGGGAGCTTATGTGCCCCCCCTTTGGGTGCATAAGCGCCAACTAAAGCGTCTGTTTCCCAAGAGCTTGGCGCATAGGTGCCAAGTCCGGGTGCCCATGCACCAGGAGTGGTTGGTCTCGAGATTTCTGGTTTTAATGTCAATTTCGAGTGATGAAAATTTATGATTTATTATTTCTTCCTTGGTATTTTTCGACAAGCATCCCGGTGAATGTGAGGAGTATCGAAGAGGTGAATTTCGGTGATTCGTCGTGACTTTTTGCGTTGAATCGATTGTGGAGCGAGTTCTGTAGGTTATCTTTGTGTGTGGAGAGAAAACATGTGGGTTCTTTGTAAAATCTGTTGAATTTCATATTGGAAATTTCTGGTGATGTGACTCCGTCGTTTTCTTCCCGTCCTAGAATTTTCCAATTAAATACTCGTGTGCTCTTTTTGTTGCTTTGATTGTGCTTCTGTTTTAAATTTTGTTTCGGTTTTTTATCGAATTGGTGTGATCACGTTGTTCCATGGTGCGGTTTAGTTTCTAATTGATTCTAAGCCTCGATAAAGTTGGGACTATTCGCGATATATATTCCTATCAACCGGTATCAGAGCGGGGTTCGATTCGGATGGGAGCAATGGCCGAAGAAGCAAAGGTTCAAAGTGAAAAAATTCAATGAGACAAATTTTACTTTCTGGAAGATGCAGGTAGAGGATTTGTTATATCAGAGAAAACCATATTTTCCACTACAATGAATAACAAAGAAACTTAAATCTATGCCTAAGGAGGAATGGGAAGTGTTGGATCGAACGACACTAGGATTGATCAGGTTGACACTTTCCTCATATGTTGCGTTCAAAATTGTGAATGAGAAAACTACGGTGGATCTCATGGCAACACTGGTCAAGACGTACGAAAAACCTTATGCTTCCAATAAAGTGTTTGTGATGAATAAGTTACTCAAAAAGAAGATGATGGAAGGTAGTTCAATGGCAGCGCATATCAAAAACTTTAACTCCTTGAGGGGATAGTTGTGTTCTATAGAAATCAAGTTTGATGATGAGATCAGAGCATTGGTGATAATATTTTCATTGTCGGAAAGTTGAGATGACTTGGTAACGGCGTTGAGTAATTAATTCTTCAAAGACTTCAAAGTTGAACTTCAATGATATTGCAGATCTAATGTTGAATGAAGAAGTTCGCAAAAAAGCAACGAATTGTGAATCTTCAGATTCATTGAATGTTGATAATAGGGAGAGAAATCTAGGTAGGAATACTGACAGAGGCAGATCCAAATCCAAGAAAGGAAAGCCCAAGTTAAGCATAGGAGAATGTTAGAACTACAGTAAGAAAGAGCATTTCGAGAAGGACCGCAATGCTC